TCCAGGAAATTTTCCAATATTATCGACATCTCGTTACGCCTCACTGCCATGTAGTCAGAAATATTTGTCGCGTTTTGCAAGGCTTCTAGGAGCCAGCGGGAATTTCGGCTGTAAATGGTAGTGATAGTATAGGAAGAGAGCGCAGGATATCGAATATTTGTGATTTTCGCCAAGGGTCTTAACAAGTTCCGCGCTCATAGATCGGCTTCCTGTCGAGTCACATCAACCAAGAACGTCATAAACTGGCGGTCATGAATCTTAGGAGTCAGGAAGCTGAGCGAGACGTCGTCTCATCTAGACTCATTCGCTCGCACAGCGCCGGAAATGTCGCTGTTGAACTTGAGAGTCGTGACGTCGTAAAGCGGAAGCGAGGCTTTTCGCCAAGAAGGAAAGCGGATTCGTGTCGAACGAAGCGTTACGTTTCAGAGAAATAACCTTCAGCTAGAAAGAACGAAAATTTCCATATTAATGATTTTTATCGACGATTCGTCCTGAGTTCATATAATCTGAATTTATAGTTCACAGGCTTGCGAGTGTTCTCGGTGTAATCCCTTAGGTATAATCCGCTATTGAAAACAATCTAACTACGACGAGCGGCCCATGCTAGATCTAGGACTAGATTGACTAAAAGAAGCGACTGATGAGTTCTAATCTACTGATCTACAACATCAACGAGAATCTCGTAAAATTTCATCTACTCACGGAGGGTGTTATTGTTTGTGTGCGTGTGTAGGTGCGTTGTAGGTGAGACATGTACATATATGCATAGGTTTTATACACTATATACTTATATACATGCAATGATACACTTATCGATTCTATACTTGATTTTCGCAATCCAAGTAACGTGGATAATGGTAACGAACTCGATTCTGACACACATAATGGCAAGTACTTGTGCAATGAACCCTCGTTAGTGCAAATTCGGAGAAACTCGAAACAGTAGTTCGTGAAGGATAGTAACTAGAGAAGGATTTGTGGCATTGGACAACTCGAGTTAACGAGAGTTTACTGTATCATGCAATATCAACTTATAAAATTACTCCTTTCTCCTTTCAGCAATCGGAATTTTTATCAAAGCATTGATTAGGGTCATAAAAATTGCTGAGGGAAACGGGAAATTTTTTTGTTACCCCCTTGAATTGCGAAACAATGTTAAACCCTGTAAACATGTAACTCCACTCGAGTGGGAGGCTCGAGGAATCCAACTCGATTGCCTCCATCCACGCTAATTCGAGAAAAGCGTCGACGCACGCGTTATATTCAGCAATGTTAATGTAAAGAACAATTAAGACAGTAAGCCACAAAGTTCTACTTAATCCTTTCAGTATTTCTGCACCGTATATTGCACGTCAGTTTTCATTATCTACCAAACATAAAAGATTAAATTTTATTAATAATTTAAGAGGGATTGCAGTTTATTAAAAATTTGAAGACTAATAATGATAATGTCCATTAAACTATGAAAATTTATTTGAATATTATCTTTTGCTATCGCTGTTATGTTCAAAGATTCACAAATTATTAATTTAATGTTTGTACTGAAAACCAATAAAGTCGAAAGTACAATAGAACTAATGAAAAAATTAACAAAAAATAATTGTTGCAATATTTGTATTGAATTTGATATTGAAAGGATTACTTTAATGAATTTTCGACATAGATTAGTAACCCGATACTTAATGCATCCCTAAGGGAAATAATCTAAAATAGCATTCTAAAATTTTTCCCAACGCTTGAAAAATGCACCTTACTTTATCTCTTTCGATAATTAAACGAAATCTCTTAATGCATATCTTAATATCAAAATGCAAATGACTTAACTTTCTTGCGCACTATTGCACATAGTATTTATTTGGCATTATAGGTAATTCCTTGAGCAAAAGCGGAAGGTACTAGATTTTCATCGAGGAATAGTAAAGGGGAGTTACGACGAGTTTATTATAATAGAATTTCTGAGACCGTTCGTTCGCCGTTCATCGGCTTCTCTCTAAAGACAATAGCATCAAACTCGTACACTCTACCATTAGTAGATACTTTTACATTAGAAACGATTCGAGAATCGCGACGCAACATCAGTAATATCATAAACAATTACGAAAAACAAAGACAAGTAACAAAATAATTATTCAATAAATAAATCATTTGAACGCGGCATCAAAACACAACTTTACTCGCTAATACAGATCAATCGTTTCACGTTAATAAAATATAATACAGAAAGACTCGTCGAATCTTTCACGACTATTCCGTTAGCGGAGGATTTTCTTGTTTTTCTCCCGATTTTCGCCGGAATCGCATCCCGTCCCGAACGAACGATCGGCGATCGTTGACTTAGATCTCATCGGGATACATCGTGACTGGTGTGAGTGACTTCCTACTCTTTAGCAAAAATAAGTATCGTGTTACGCGTTTACAACACCGATTCACGATGATCCCGTACGTAAGATAAAGCGAGAGAGGTCTCTCGCTTTGTGTCACGTGTGTGTCCGGCGTCAGTGCAGCGAAACTCTCTTTCTCTCTCGCGGCTTTTCTTCCTTCCTTGAGCGATTCCGTCCGTCGGTGGCTCAAAGAAAGGGGCGCGTAACAAGCTTTGAAATACCTTGTAAGCCGGCTACACGCTACAGCTACATACTGTCTATAAAGCCTTAGATCAGCGACGAAACGATATTTATAACCACCAGCGTCCTGACACGGGCCCCGCCATATGAAATATTCCATTCTAGCGAACCGTCAAATTTCAAATGCGATAGATCCTCGGTAAAACCGGTCAAATAAGGAACTTGATCATTGAAGGTATAAATCGATGAATTCCTCTGTACCAGTTTGGAATAACTGTATACTCGAGAATTAAATTACATCAAGAAATTAAAAGCAAATTTTGATATGTTGTAATCGAAAGAAAGTTGTTGAATATTCTAAGAATTTATCCAATTGACAAAAGCTAAAAGTAACATAACATCAATATTATAATTTTGCATTCAAATAATACAAATATAATATAACACATGATGTCACATAACAGTTGCATTTGTTGAGTGCGAAATTATAATATTGATTTATATTACTTTTTTAAATTTATGTCAACTAGGTACTGTCTGCGATTAAAGTTTTCATTTGTGTGAACACATTGTAAAAGAATTGAAGCATAAAAGCCGGATGATGCCATTTTATGAGATTAGCAATGTCGCACAAAGCCAAAAGACATTTTAATCTTTTTCTCAATGTGTTAATCCTTCTGGGTTCGCAGAATCTCTTTTAAACGCCTTTTAAACTTTCGACTGGCCGCGAAATGGGGTTTGGGAAACATCGTTTCGTCCGTCTCAGGCTTTTCACCGTGCGCATTCGCACGCTCTGACTTTGTAGTAATTGTCAGGTACAGTGCTCGTCAACGATAGCTTTGAGAATTGGCACATATAATACTATACTCCAGGCAGCTGATTCGCCGTGGATTCATCGAGAAAAAGCTTTAGTCGTTAATCATTTACTAATTATAATCTCGACGAGGCAGCGGCAGCCATCGATGCGTCGATCGATGAAAAGCAGTGTACCTTGTGGGTTGAAGGAGTGTGTGTTGCGATCTTGGATTATCACTGGCAGAAAGTTGCAAGTAACTTACGTGCTAGTACTTTGGTAAAACAGTTTTCGCATCCTCTCGATCAACGTCGCTCTCTGTATACACTTCCTTACAGGTATACGCGTCGCTCGACGATTTCCATTAAGAGCTAATTAATTCGATCTAATTTAAGGACTATCTTTGGACGTTTGGCTCTGTTGCGCAGGGCCGCCACTCGACTTTGGTATTTCGTTTCTATGTTTCGCGATAATAACGATCTTTCGGCCTTACCTCCTCGAAGAAACGAAGTGTCACTGTCGTTTCCAAGTCGCTGTCAGGTCTCGTCCGATCTCGAACTCCATTACGCGCGAAAAATGATGTACCTTGACAATTTGAGGTAACAGAAAGACTCTGTGTAGTTCATTAGAGCGCTAATTAAGCCTTAAAACACACAGTTCAGGTATACATGAAAAAATTATGCCGTTATACGCGTAATTTTAGGAGTAAAAAAATATTGCTATATATCTTCAAAGAAGTCAGTTACTACGAGAGATCCATCATGAGTTTATTTTGTGAGAAATCTCGTGAAAGAAATATTTATCCTGTAAGAATTATGGCATTCCTTTTTCCTCATAATCCTTTATCTTGATCTTCCACCTTTCATCTCCATGATCTCTTATTATCACGAGCTAATGTTGATTCTATGTGAATTAAAGTTTCCTTCTTCACACTTTATCTTGATTATCTCTCATCCTGATGTCTTATAAGAGAAATGTAGATAATTCTATATAGAATCGCGGTGTTAGCCTTTCTTCTCTATTTATTCTTCTACTGTCTCTTTATTTACTTCCACTTTCCCTTCATATTTTTCACTTTTTGATGACGTTCCAGCTTTTGTCTATGCACATTTATTTTCTGTCTTCAACACTCCTTTTAGAAGCTTGCAATAAACGAGAAACGCAAACAGGCGGATTTAGCGGTCTAATGTTGTACACATATATTTCTCTAAGAGATTCTCGATCACAGGCGAACGCTATCTCCTCGAGGATACGTTCGTTGAGCCGACCTGCCAGGAGCTTCGGGATTTCGTAATCGATCTCGCTAACAAGGGAAGTTTCACAACTGTCCGGAACCGATTTGATTCTCCATGAAATATGTTATTAAACGAAAATCTAAGAGAGAGACACGTATTTTTTTATACGTGCGTTAACTTATGTTTAAAGGGTGAAACACCCCTTTGAAAAAAAACGGTATTTCTATTTCGAGCCGAATATCGTCGGAAGTATAAAAGATGGAAAAAAGGTTTTTAAACAAAAGTTGTACGGTTTCAAGAGTACTTCAATGTTGCGAAGAAAAAAAATTAAAAAAAATTTAGATTTTCGTGTTTAACAACATATTTCATGGAGAATCAAATCGGTTCCGGACAGTTGTGAAACTTCCCTTGTAAGTAGCGATTCCTTCCCGATGATCCATCGAGCGGCGGATGCACTCCCCCCCAGTGCAAATGCGAACGCACACGGAAATGCATCTTGCTCCTCTCGGCGGCCCTTTGCTCCCCCAGCTACGTGTAATGCTCGCAGTCCCCACACTCGGAGAGCGTGGGTGTGGACGGACACTAGGTGGGATTCGGGTCTTCGTACGCCTTCTCGTAGTCCCGTCGCCGTATCACCGCGAAGTGGGTCATCTGGAAGGAGTTGGTCTTCTTGCAGCCACGCTCCAGCGTGCCCGTCATACTGTAGCCCATATTGAAGTCGCTCGACGAGACGTTCGACGTCAGGTACAGCTGTAACAGGGCGGCAAGCAGATCGATACGATATCACTGCGTTGCTCTCGCGCTCACACACGAAACTCGAGAGAAGAATTTCCTACAGTTTTTTTTCTAGTACATTATTCCCGGCTATTACATCAATAATAGTAATTTTAATATAATATAATATAAATGATACACAAGAAAGAGAACGCTTTTTGTTGAAGAGTCTAAACATTTTTTTAAGCTATTAAAATAATTTTGCAGGACTCAAACTTGTTGCTAGAATCTCAAAATCTTTTTGTGGCATTGTTTGATTCTTGTATCTAATTAAATTTTCAGATACTTCAGTAAAAGAAAAATTGTTCTTTCCGTGCATATATATATATAAACCTAAAAAACTTAATAGTAAATTAATAATATTACATTAATAATAATATTAAATGAATAATGATAAACAACAAATGTCAACTAATGATAAGTATCTTTTTAACCATATTTTTTAAATGTTTATGACAGCATTTCTCTTAATGAATGTACAGTTATTACTTCATTTTATACTCAAAAAGACGCGGCTAAAACCATTCGTCCAAATCCCTTGGTCAGACTGTTTGTAATTAAAAGTTAATTAGTTAGGAAAAAATGACCATAAAGCATATCTGTGTTAATTAAAACATCCCAAAGTTTTTTTGATAATTTACGTTTAATTTGTATTTTCGCTATTACTGGAGATGATATTATTTCAGACGAATTTCAATGGCAGATCATTAGAACACAGGTAAGCTTGCGTCTGCCGATTTAGAGTATGGCACTGGCCATGCCTGCAGTCCTTTATGCAGGCCAGCTCTCCATCAAAATTGCATGTACGACATTTATGGCTGACTGTTGGCGCGCGGACACATGTTATTTTCTGACAGCAGTAGCCGCATTACACATTCCAGTACGTTTGACGAAACGCATAAGAAACGTGTGTACATGTTGCGGTTTTCACGTTTTCAGTGTTGTAAAATCCCGCGGCAGCTATGCGACTCCCCTGTCATTTACTCGCAATAGCATCTACTTTAGGCATTTGGGGAATAAGTGCGTGGCTATCCGAGTCTTTTGCTACCCTTCGCAAAAAAAGTGTCTCTCAACGCGAAACCTCTCCAGACAGCTCGATAAATGTCGCGAAAACATACGTGTGCCCGAGGCGTGCCATCAACATACTCGTACATACGTTCATGCGAGACGCGTCGACAACTTTTGTCGGCCGACGGTTATTCCCCTTCGAGATTTTAGACTATTTCACAAATTTAACTTCTATTAATTTGGGAGTAGACACTTGGTTTTTTTCTACATAAATCACATAGGGTGTTTTTACAATTAAAATCACTGTTATTATTAACGTCTTATCTTATTAATTGTTTCCGATTTATTAGTATTCGAAAATATTATGAATATGAGATAATCACAATTTCCAAAAAAGTACAAATCAAATAAATATTAAACAGAATAACCATGTAAGTAGCTTATTATGACAGTATTTCTAAAAATTTTTAATTTAATTGATATTACAAATTTTTATTGTGGGTTTTTAATGAAATTGCATATTTAAAGATTCGTAAAGAATAGTTAATAAAAAGAAAGAAAATATACGAAACAATATTCATACTAAACAATATTTTCAATTCACATTTTCTTGCCGCTGAAGTATGAAGACACCCCATGTGACATTTCCGAGTTAAAAAAGGCGGAAATTAAAAGTAAATGATAAAAACAAAGCATTTCCGACGCGTAAGAATACGGTGTTGGTGACGATGGCGGACATGACGTGCATTTTCAGTAAAAAGATTAACGACCGTTACATCGTAGAATCATATTTTTCTGCGTATGGTACCCACCAGCGTGATTATAACGGTAAGCGGGCGTGACGTAATAATACCTAGTGATAAATTCGATAACCGTTATTTCGCGTGTTTGATGAATATGAAATTTATCATCGGGAAATACCACAGCGTCACGTTCTAGCATGTTTCCTCGGCTATTTTACGTATCCTCGGCGAACTACGAACCATGATTGGGTTTTTTTTTATCAGCTTAAACGATTTTATTAATTCACGTAGTCGCGCCACTGGGGTGGACATCCGTGAACCGAGATTCTTCAATTCATTTAATTCGTTTGCAGAAAACGCGCGACCTGTTTCCGTAATTGCGGAAACGGGAACAACGAACGTGCGCGCGCGCGCGCGCACGTTACAATGTGCAGCAATACCAAGTTTTCCACGCGCGCATTGTCGTATATTTATTTAATTATCGTCTCGCTGCTACTCTCGGCTCTCGAGATAGAAACATCTAAAAATTGCACGCGCGCATTTAGTGGGAGATACTATTTTATGCGAAAAGACGAGGTAGAGATACGTTGATCGCGTCGCGGCGTTGTGAATGCGTTGCCGGTGCGAGCGAAAATATCACGGAGACAAAATTTTTCGTAATCCGACAATCTGCAGATTAGCTGAGACGGACTGCGAGTTTCCGATATAATGTCTGCGTCTGGTGCAATCCTTTAGAAGGATTGTGCGAGGTCGACGTTCTTTCAACGAAATAAAAAATAATTAGTGTAATAAAATATAGTTTAAATTTATGAAAATTGAATCCTATTATTTAAAGAATTAACTGTTATCTTTGTAACATGAATTACATATTTTTTGTTTAAGTAAATATATATAAACACGAGTGAAAATAGATGCATTACTGCTCAACAGTTTCAGCATACTCTCCGTTTATGGAAATTTCGTAATATAAAAAATAAAATATGAATACAGTTTGTATGGATTATTTTTTAATTTATTATTACACATTTTCACTAAAATTAGAAAAAACTAATTTTTTAGATTTTTATTTCTAGCTTCGGATTTTGATAACAGAAGTCATACTCTTGTTATTCTATTGATAAATTCTTTAAGTGTTATTAAAGACTTTAGTGTTTCATTTGGCATTTAATTTCTGCAAGAATATTTCATACTATTTTCTTATTGTTATTCGTTGTGATATCCAAATGTTTATCGGAATAGAAATAGCGCAAGATTGAAATCAATATTTCTTCTAATCAGTACCTATATATATTTGTCTATTTAAGAAATGTACTTGTAATTTTCGTTTATAATTATTTTTTGACAATTCGCGACTTTATTGAATACTTCTGTGATTGAAAATAAAAAAGTATATTATATCATAATTTCATATTTTACGTCTATATAAAAAATGAAATTGCAAAAACTTAACATGCTGAAACTTTTGAGCGATAATGTGTATTAAAAGAATATATTAAGGAATAAAGTAAGAAGATATAAAATTTATTGTATATAAAAGGAATAGCATTCTAAAAGAAAAAGCTTTTATGGTTTATATATTTATTTCTAATATATTTATGTGTATATATATATATTATTATTATTACTTTATGATTTCAAAATAAGCTTGAATTAAGGTAAAAAAAGCGAAAAAACGTATTATCGAATTAACAAATTACGATAGCAAACTCTAGTGACTTATTATCCATTTCATTAACAGCAACTACAAGATATACAGCGATTGTAAAATTTTACAAATTAGAAAGTCTTTTGTATTGGTAGATTATTTTATATTGGTAGATTATTTTTATTAATAGTAAAACGAATTGAAACTTAAACTTAAAAAAGTTAAAGAAAATATTTAATAAATTTAATTATATGAATTCATACCTTGAAATCGGGATCGGTAGTCATCCTCTTGAATGAACCGATAATATAAAGCGTGCCCGTACCCGTGTCTACCATCTTCGCCTGAGTACTATACCTAAAACACAATCACGATTTTCTGAATTGAAATCTTATGACCAATAACATTTTGTACGAGGTAATCGATTTTAAGTCGATAGAAAAATCCATGGATAGAAAGAACGATGGGAATCCGGGACGCGTCCTATATATATTATCAAGAAGAAAGAAACGTCAAAGGAGAAAAAGCGCAATCGATTTTGATACATTGAGTATAAGCAGAGAGCTATCAGTTCGTCGTCTATAGCTTGTCCGCTTTTCATTTTAACGTCCTTTGACGTAATCCTTACGAAGGAGATTTCAGCACACTCTCGATTCTTATCCTCTGTCCCGAATTGTACTATGCAAGGGTGCCAAAGCTTTGTGTATGCTTACAAAAGCCATTCATAAAAAGGCGATTCTACTGATTTATATCTTTACTACGATACTATCTTTCTATAAAAACTCGCGAAAACTGTTTATATTACGACGGTAATAAGACTGAACTTATTTCTTAATTATTTTAATCTTTTTTATATTTTCTCCAAGTTTCTCTCACACTAATTAATAGACATAAGATTTTTATGCAGATATTTTTTTAAGACATGCACAAAATATGCAAATTTGCACAAATATGCAAATATGCACAAATAAATGTGTATTTTTAAAATGCTTTTTTAATGTGAAAAATGTTTATTTTTAAACACTTTCACCATCCAATAATAATTTTATACTAACACAGTAGATTGTAATATTAATATAAGTTACACAGAATAATTTCTTAATAATTTTAATTAGTAGACATCGAATTCTTATGCAATTTCATTTTCTTGTAGAAAGCAGACTGGAAAGTAATATAAAAATAATGTTACTTTCCAGTCTGCTTTCTAAAAGAAAATGAAATTGCATAAGAATTCGATGTCTACTAATTAAAATTATTAACAAATTATATTTCTGTGTAACTTATATTAATATTACAATCTACTGTGTTAGTATAAAATTATTATTGGGGATGGTGAAAGTGTTTGCTTTGCATTTTGGATGCTGATTTGAGTTTTTTGAGAATAATCAGCTATCTTGAATACGCATTGTTAAGTTAATTGACGATTATCGCTAGCTACGTGCCATGTCTTTAGGCCACGCTGTGATCTCCATCGAAGCGATGAACGGAGGGGAAGTCATGGAGCGGGAATGATTGAGGAGACGAAGGGAAATTTCACTTGACTGGTGATAAGAGACGTGGCCCTTTAATATTATGATAGAGAAAGGGGAAGGAGTACATTAAAATATATTTCAAATTTTATCATGATATTTATTAGATTTTTATATAATTATTACAAAAGAATATATAAGGAAAAACCATAGATTCTTTATATTTTAATAGATAGTATTAATGAAGTAATAATATAAATACATACATATTATTATATTATATATATTTATTTATGAAAAATATATTGTTTTTCCAAATCTTTTCTAGAAGTAGTATACATAAAAGTTTAATATATGAAAATTTCGCATTAATTTCTTTTATATTTCAAGAATTTAAAAGGTAGGTATACATTTTTATAGACAAGATACTTCTTCTTTCTCTTTTTCTCTTTTAAATATAAATTAAATAATGATATATACACAAACAAAAATAATAAAGATATGAAATTAAAAAATTCTATCTAAAACTTTCAAGAAAAAGGAAAATTTTTTTTCTGCATAAAGAAAATGAACAGGAGAAGGAAAAGGGAGAGGCATTAGAGTTCACCAACACCCGCATGATAGACTCGAGGGGCTTATTCCGGCGGAGATACCTCTCGAGGACCGGCGACGATCATTAAAAGTTTAAACGGCTTCTATTGAGGCGAACGGCAGCAAATCCGACACTCGGCTGGAAGTCCGTCGTGCCCGCACCGGTTGCTTTGATTTCTCCAGCTTTTCTCGAAGGGAAAGGGAAAATCCGAAACGTCGAAGAAAGGCACGTAGACGTCACTTCCTAGCGTTTACGCACAATACGGGCATAGTAGATAGTGACTTCGTGTGCCCGTGATGTAAACACACACCTCGAGGATGTTTTTCGACCCTCGATCTCACAACTTTGACGTTATCGATGATCTCATACAAAGTACTTTTGATATATACGTAACGGCTAGTAGTGAACGTTCGAATACTTAAAATTAATGTCTGTTAATTAAAAAGAAAAATGAATTGCGAGAACGAAATTGAATGCTATTTATTTATAACGACGATCACGTGTACCGACAAGCTGGCATGTAATATCATAAATAATAATTATGCAGTGAGTGTCTATCAATTGAAAGAAAAAGTAAACCAATAAGATTGTAATAAGAATACTTTTTGAGGGATAAGTATCAATTAACTTGAAGGAAAAATGAACTGGATGAAATCGAATGTCAATTAATAAAATTAATAAAATCACGAACTCCAATCGGCGACGATAATTACGTTGATAATTAATATTGGTGGTTATATTATCGATACCCTCGAGAGAGATTGTTTGCTTTCTAGAGCATGTATTGGCTTATTATCGATAAATTGACGAGCTCATTGCGACATATTTGTCGAGTATCCCCAATCGGTTTGGATTTGGTTGCAGTCGATTGCATCACGCGAGAGATCGAAATCCTGGATGGAGATAAATGGGTGAGATTTCCTTGACCAACGAGCAGATCGAACTGTCGTCACGTTTTAACCCGTCGTAAAAGCTTTTGTTGACCGAGCAATGATGAGGATCGCTATAAAATAGTAATTTTTGAGGATCAATTGGATTTCGATATAACTATCTCGATGTTTCAACGTGAAATTAATAAAGTTTTGTCGGCCGAGCAGCGATCGAAGATTAGAATGGAGTAACAATCTTCGAGATTTGTGAGTCGGCTTAAATATAGATACCTGCTCTAACCATGAGAATTTTTGTTGACCAAGCAACGAAGATTGAAAATCCGAGTAACGACTTCCGATATCTCAGGTGGCTTCTATCTTGGTATTTCAATCTTGAAAATTTTCGTTGACCTAGAAACTATCTAAATTTGAACATCTTTCCGCGAGAATTGAACAAAAAAAATTGAAGTAAACTGAGCAATCGAACAGAGATTCAAGTAAACTGAGCAATCGATCAAAGTACATAGTCACGGAATACCGTTTGTATCCTTGTCAGAGAATAACGCGAATTGTACACGTGTCCACGGATAGGGGCGTGGGAATTGATTTGTACTGCCAAGAGCCGTTATACCACGTGTTTACTAAGACGAGCAGCTCGGTTCTCGTAGCTCGGTTACTGTTGCGAAACCAGGAATACAGGCACTCCGTAGCAGAGCCGAGGGATATTTAGACAAGTTCGGTTGTCTTCGCAAACTTCGTCCGATCCTACGGAGACGTTTATGCCGCGCTAAGGATGCCTCTGAAGTCAATTTTGACCATGCATCAATCGGTATGGTTCATATACGGATATATAGCAAAGCCTTCACAAATTCTCTTGATATTCATTCCATCTTTGATATAGATGATCGAGCTATATAATACTTTTTTAATATATACTAATAGATATGTTTTTTGTTTAAATGCTTCTTTATATAAGAAATATTTTATTTACAGATCTTTTTATTCGAAATAATAAATTACATAATACTATTAGATATCTCAAAGGAGCAATGGCAACCCAATCCTTTGAATTAAAAAAATTGAATTAAAAACAATTTTGTTATTTTTATGTGTGTCAAAATGTAAATCAGTCCATTCCTATATGATTAGTTTTAAAGCGAACAACGTCAAATTTAAGTCAAATTTAGTTTATTTACAAAGGACTATGCCCAGTTTGAGCCCCGGCTGAATAGCATTGAGACCTAGCTAGGATTGTAGAACATCAAAAAAGGATTAAAAAGTTCCATATGCACAACTTTATAAAATGAGTCTCTTAAGTGCTACAGCTGTTCAAAGTTCGCTATTATAACCATGTATTGTGTATCATGTAGGACTGATTTTATTCGATTTCTCGAATCATCTAGTATCTGGAATATGTCCAATCTTGACGAAGACAACTAAAACCTTTTTTGGACCCCAAATGAATAGTTACAAGTGATATATATTAATCGATGAAGAGGAGAGAGAGACACTCAAAGTATGAAACAGAAGGTTTTAATTGGCTAATTGAAATATGGCCAATATATGTTCTAGAAGCACTCAGGAATAAAGTTAGGAATTTTTTATTCTCTTTTGATACCTTAAAATTTTAGGCATGTCTCAAAGTTGTTCATCCCGGGCCCAAATTCCCCTCTAAGACTGAGCATAGTCCTTTATATACATATATAATATGTAATATATTTTCTTGAGTTAAATTCTTCAATTTTATTATTTAGTTAAATTAATAACATATTAAGTAAGAACAGTGCTACAAAAATAATTAAAAATAACTTATATTAGATATAATTTGACATGAATTTAACAGCGAAAAGAGAAATTGAGTACAGATATTATAGAGTTAAAATAAATACTTTAATGTCTTTTATTACTGATAATTTGCTATAACGGAAACAAATGATATTTAAATATCTTCTTTCAGTATGTTATTAACTATTAACATAATCATTGCGCGTAATATTTTCGCAAGCGATTTTTTATGAAAAAAAAGAACGCGGGATAATTTTTTCGAGGTACAACATTCGATCCCAGGCGTCGTAAAGCGTCGCGATTTTATCGCATGGGTCCAAAGCCTGCTTGCCGACTCGTCTCCACCACTTCAAGATTTATTATGGCTCTCAGCATTCGAAGGAAGACAATGAGGGCGTCTTTTCTTCTGCACATGCGCACGCGCGCGATCGAACGAATCGCTATAAATCGCGAGCCCCTTATCGGCTTCGACCGCCAACTGGCGACCTTAACGGCGCCGAAATCTATGGACGTCGGAAAGTTAGACGGGCCCCAGTTTCCCAAAGTGATACGACCGCCGGGAAGAGAGAGGTCTCACCCTCACCTTACCCCGGTTATACGGTATTCTGTCTCCGTTTCTGTTATCCTCCTCTATCCACTTTACGTACGCGATGTGTTCCCATGAGCGTTATTTCGATGTGGATAACGCGACGTGCATCTCGAACCGTCAAGATTCGTATAATATCTATTGTAAACACGGATATCACGTGATAATTGTGATATAAACGAACGGATAAGAATCGATGACTTGAAGCGATATTGCGGAATTGTCAGATGAAACACAAGATGCTCAAGGAGTTGTATATTGTTTCTTAACTATCGAAATTGTATTTGGTGACGCAACTGTAATTTAATAATAACTTTCTCACCTTCTTGTTCCAGCAACTTCGACGACCTTACACCGGCTCCGGCTCCACCAGAACGGCGTCAAAGTCCAATAGGAACTACTCGCGCTTCTCGCCCAACCCTCTTCGGGGAACAAAAGGACCTGCGACAAAGAGTGAGTCATGTTTTGAATATTTCATCGTCTTCCACTAAAAAATTTCAAACGTACTCGCAACGTCAAAAACACTGCACTGAGAAAAAAGTCTGCTTAAGTGAACTGCGATGTCACTCTTATTTGATAAGATATATCGAGTTTATTGAGCAAACTGTATGCTGATGTAATTTCGTTAATGCACTGTAACTGTCGTAATTATAATATCTTTATTGACAAAACATGTCACATTAATTATGCATCTTACTGTATGCTAATGCAATTTCGTTAATGCACTGTAATTGTCGTAATTATAATATCTTTATTGACAAAACATGTCACATTAATTATGTGACTTACTTCATTGATTTTATTCTCAGTTGAACGTATTTTGTTCCACCAAGCAGTTTTTTCTTCTCGGTGCAGGATAATAGAACGCGGAACGTCGATAGTAAGCTCGAGATGCTATAGCACTCTCAAATAAAGTAGACGGGATTGGAAAAAAGGCTTCGTCGGGACTTCTTCGCGGCGCTTCGACGAGTTCGAGGCTTCCCGAGGAAGATTTGTTGGAGTTCCTCCGCAGAAGGAGGAGGATGCCTTCCCGTCGAACGTATCCCTCGGCGAGAGAAAAAAAACTCTCGACCTTCTTCCATCCCATGCATCCCAACCCCGGTGATCCGGTTTCCGCTCTTCGGCTTTCCCGAACCTCGGCTATGTGACCGAAATATTGAAACCGCACACCGAGCGCTGTTTTTTCCTCCCTCTCGCACGCGACGAAGAAAGAAGAACCCGCCGCGTTGTGTCTTTCTCCTCCTACGGATTCCTCCTTCTACGGATCTTTTGCACGCGATACAGACATCCGTCATCCCGAGGATTTTCTATGCCGCAAACGTAGATAAATCGCTCTTTAATCGGTACACATATCTCACGAGAAACATGTTGTTCTTCTTTCGCTTGGCAGAAACTGGTGGATTACGCAAAACTTAGTTCGTCTAGATTTAAATCTATTCTAATGCCGCTTTTTATTATTGATAAAGTTATAAAAATCATGAAACTTAAATTTTCTAAATATTTATAATTGCTCTCTAAATTTTTTAGAGTGAGATTTTACTCTCTAACATTAAGAGAGTATTACGCATCATCTTTCAGTATTTTTAATATAATATCTCTATATATAAGAAATTAATAAAATAATGTTATCCCAGAAGTTATGTGAAATTCCGCTATTCCGTTGCGAATCCAATATTAAATCATATACCGAGGCAAATATTTTGCTTTATCAACATAAACCATTTCGCTTCTTCATTACTATTACCTGGCATCTGCAAAGCTCCCTTGGCAACAGTTTTGCTGGCACCCCAAATATTCCGCGAGATAACCATGCATTTCCGTCGAAATTACGATACGCCGTAAATTGCGATCTGTCAGCAAGAATGCACTTTCTTCTTCCCTCGAGCTATGAGAGTGAGGGTAGCAAGACGCGAGAAGAGGAACACACGGAAAAGTCGAAAAGATGAAGGGTTGGAAGAGCTGCTCTCGACGATTGGATCTCTCTCTCTCTCTCTTTTTCGGGTTACCACGAGATAGTTCGTTGCCAAAATTTCTTGATTCGCCGTTCCGGAACAGCGGAACAGTCGGCGGGGACATTCTCTGAGAGTGAGTGAAAGAGGAGAGAAGGGAGAAAGCGCGATTTTATCGAATCTCGTGGAATTGCATTCCAGCCACGTAAACGGGAATATCGAGATTCAGATGAACCTCCACCTCGTCCCTCCGTTCCGATACGAGTCGAGAGTGGTGCAACAAATTCACGATTAACGTCCGTTCCCTGTTTTTTTTCCTTTTTATTTTTCATCCTCGTTTCCAATAGTAGTCAAATCAACGCGTGGTAATCAAACGATCCTCAGAATTATATTAGATTTTGATTGCCGAGTGCGCCGATCTGTGTACATAATGTTATGTAAAACTAAGTTTAATTTTTCAAATATTGATTTTAATTACATTAGAAAAACTATTTTCACTGTTGTTGATTTTATATAAAAATGAGTTTTAATAAATTAAATTTTCCATCCATCTCTCAATTCAGCTATGTACATAATTCGGTTAAATCGATTCATGAAACCGCGTGTTTTTTATATTTAAATGTCAGTTCAAAAAAGTACGTATTTCTACTTCTAGTTCAGTTGAGAAATGAATTATGATCTGCAAACAAATATCCTCTGCTGGACTTTAATGTATTAAAAATTCAAAGTTCCATATTACTGAGTTAACTTTGTTTCCCGAAGTTTCCCACACGTTAGTTTTTCCAACTTTTGCATAGCATTACGCGTATATGACGATCACATGATGAAACCGAGCACATTTCTGCAACGCGGAAAATTTATCCTGCGGCCATAAAGTATGTATAAAGCTGGAATTACAATTCGCGCAATAGACTGGTGCAATTATTCGCTTGCTTGCCGATCAAATTCGCATGATTACATTTGTAGTGTCGATTCTACTGTTCTCTCTTTCTCTTGATTCGATACCACAGCAACCAATCGAACGTGCTTCACGGTCGAGCTTACTGATCTTTAATGATGTTTCGCGAATCATCGAATCGCATTAGTCAGAATAGTGAGCGCTTTCGCATCCATTCGGTGAAATATATGTTATTTAGCATTTTACGCTGTGGTTATAGAGCGTGGCAGGTGTTATATTATAATGATCATGTTTGACCCGACTATCATGATACAGTCTTTTATTGCTATTTTATATATGATTAATTAATTCAGTCTGGATATAATTATTTATTTTAATTGTAGTTCTTCTTAATTTTCTGTTTATTGTTATTAAAACACAAATAAGTGTAATTTACGTATTAAGGTCTGCTTCGGAATTGATTTAAGTCGTGTTCGACGTAAACAGCTTATGATTCAGTTTTCCTTGGAAGAAACTTTAATATAGTTAGACAGTAATTGAAAGCTCTAGAGACACAACAAAAAAAAACGCAAGATCAATGTTTACAGCTCTCGGATTTCCCTCGAGCTAAATTTATCGAGGTATCAGGTAAAAACTGATTGAAGCTTAAGCTGGCTTTTTAATTTTGATCGAGAAATATCTTGCAATACCCAGCAATTATTTGTATATTGCATCGGGGAATATTGAATGAACGCGCTAATATCTACCTTTTTGCTGCTTTAATAAGCAAAGATCACGCACGAATCTCATAATTTCCGCTTTCGATTCGAGCTCGAGTATGGGTGGATCGTAAGGACGAAGTCCGGACAAAGTAAAATAAAAATAAACGATCGTGCACGTGCAAAGTGGAGCAAAAAGAAGCAACCGCGACTGCTAAGGGCTGTGAGTAAGGGTGGAATACAAACAGCCGAAGGGACGAAGGACGGAATTTCTCGGCCAAAGTTTCTGCGCTCTTTTCTCCCATCTATTTTTCTTTCCGACCCCTTTTTTCCGTTTCGCTTCCGTAATTTTCACCCGTATATTTCGTAATGTCAAGACGACTAAGAGTTTTTATTATTTATTAAGGACATACATTAAGAACATACTTTTTCCTTTCCGAATGAGTAAACAAATTCACAAGCTGTCGACTAAATTTTAATAGAGCAATTAGTAAAAGCTTTACTATGACAACGGAAATGTTTTTCAAACAGCATCCATTACAATTCAAATTTACGAGAGAATAACGTCACATTGTGTATGTCATTTTGCATATGCTTACATTATAAATGTCGCAATTATGGGAACACACGTCAATCACAATTGCAATCCTCCTTTCTCCTCTGTAGAAGAACAATCGTACAAATTGAACCAATTCTCGCGGATCGGAAACGATCAGAAAGCGGTCGCGGGCTTGTGTAATGGCTGCCCTTTCCTGTCGAACATGCAAATTTATCGGCGTTCAAACACCGAAGCGCCCAGAGGCGGACAATTTGTGCATTAACGATTCCAATTGCCCGTCGTAGTTATGGTTTCCTTTTTTGCGGAATGGAAACCTTTTTCTGTCTTGTTTATGTCGTTTTTATCGGAAACTCAACTGTCGCGTGATAGTTATCTTTAACGCTTGAAATAATGAAGGGAATATATTTGATATAATTATTAAGAACACTAAAAAATATGGATGTCGATTTATTCCACCTGTGATGTTTATATAAGTTTCACCGTGTTAATGTTGATTTAAACACCAATAAGACGTAGATTTAACGTTATAGATGTGGATTTAACATATCATCATAGCACCCATAGTGTTAAGAATGATAAGAATTATATAAATATCGAATGGTGTTAATTCCATATTTTTTAGAATAAATGAAAATAATTATCAATCGCAAAATTCAGAGATACAATAAACCAACCTATTTTTCATTTTTTTATTCATACTTAAATCCTAGATATTAAAATTCTTTCGCGCAAGGCGTCGCAATTCTCCTGCAATTAATGCTCTCGCAATTAAAGTTGGGGCTAAATTAAGTTTCACGAATTTAATTTTCTCGGCTCTAAGATTCATTTCGAGTCGGGATATCGAAAAAATGAATTGGACCCGCTGTTGCACCTGCAAAATTGTTGCAGTGCACTTTCGCGCAGTCTCGTGATTGCATTGTTATCGTCGCGTTTACGCACTGCAATAACGAGGAACGGAACAACCGTCGTCAACGCACCCAATATTATGCGCACAAGGATCACTGCGACTAGCATTTATGTCGGCCTAAGTGCCGTTGATTGAATAAGTGGATCCCACGCGCGGTTGGCGTCGTCGTCACGACTTCCTTCTTCTCTTTCTGCAGCGCGCTCGCACAAGTTCTCTCCTCGGTAATTTACCATCCCTCAAATCACAGGGAGGCAACCGGAATTTTGCAACGCTCCTTCCTCAGTCACGCCCGTCATCTATTTTCCTGCTCCACTTCCGCGTGTCACGAAGCATGCTTAATTATCGTCGGAAACGACGTTAACGCCCATTATAATTTTGTGCGATCGATTTTCCGCGCGCGTTTTATACAAGTAGTTCACAAAAAAGTTCA